TTCTTATTTCTGTTAAAGTAGTTGCTGTCCTGAGGACGCCAGAGCACGTCATGACGTCTCACGGCTTCAACTAAGGTGGTGTCACTTGTAGAGCTGAAAAATGGGATTGATCATGTCACATTGCTAACAGAGGCCCCTGTACATCCGCGATACACTGCCTGAATCAGGGAACATCAAACAGACCGATTGCAGAAAGCTCGGGAGTATTATGGTACATAGCAGGATACAGGGCTGAGGGCAGGACACAGAAGGCACAAGGCAGACACTGAACTCAGACTGAAAAAAATTCATGGTATCATCGACATGTCTGGCGTAACGGGCGGATTGAGCTGAAATTTCGGTGCAGTATCCAGCGTAACTCTGTGCGCCCAAAAATTCTGCCATACGGATGGACAAAGAAATTTTGGCACAAGACACAAGACCTAGGTAACCTTGGCTAACTTCACTCCCTACGCTTTTGAATCATAAACCATGTCGATGATGGGTATTCATCCAAATGTTCATCCAAAGCCACACAATATCGGCTCATGAAAGCCCGAGACATTCGGCACAGTGTATGGATTTTTTTCAGTCTGGCACAAAACAGGACAATGAAGGTACACCAGGCACAAATATAAAAAACGGCAGTCGTAAAGCAGGCATCACACTTGTTTTTTTTTTCATTTTGCAACCAAGGAGAGGCGCCGTACCCAGAGATGCTTCCTTATCAAACCAAACCAAACCTAACCAAACCTGACCTAACCTTACCTACGATCTACAACCTAACCTAGAGCGACACTCCTTGGTTGCAAAAAACAAGTGTAACAAGTGTAACAAAAACAAGTGCACTGCTCGGGGAAAGGGAAGAAGTCAAGGTAAACAAGATCTTCAGACTCGGAAAGAAAAGGACGCAGGAAGATGGGGAGGAAGAACCCAAGCCTCGACTTCTTCTTGTCAGCCTTAAAAACAAAGAGGATGTCGATTCACTGATGAAGAGAAGATGGGACTTGAAGGATGTTGGGTTTAACAATGTGTACCTGACACATGATCTATCACCAGAAGAACGGGAAGAACAAAAAAGGCTGAGGGAGGAATTGACCAGAAAAGGAAGGGAGAACTACAGGATCTTTCGGGGGAAGGTCGTCCCCAGACACTAGGCAAGTAGGTTCAACTTGTCAAATGAGTTGCTTGTATACAAATGCAAACTGTTTGAGCAATAAGCTTAGTGAATTAAGAGGCAGGTTAGACAAGGAAAAACCAGATGTGATGGGTATCACTGAAGTTTGGCAAAAGCATGACTTTGAAATAAATGGCTACCAGCAGGTGCGAAAGGACAGGAAGGCAGGTCGGTTGGGAGGAGGTGTGGTTATATTAGTAAAGGACTGCTGGAAGATTGAAGAATGCAATGATTTAAACGAAGACGCTATTGATGACTGTGTTTGGTGCAAAATCAGAATCGGCAAACATGCCTGCCTACTAGTAGGAGTTTGTTACAGGACACCAAGTAATACGCCAGAAGACAACACAATATTGAACAACCTACTGAAGAGAGTGCCAAATGTAAATGCCAGGAACGTATTGATCATGGGAGACTTTAATTTCAGACAGATACATTGGGAAAGTCAGACAGTTGAGGGAAGTGAAGATTCAGAGGAAGCAAAGTTTCTTGACACTATACAAGATCTTTACCTCTATCAGCATGTGCGTCACCCTACTCGTTTCAGAGATGGACAGGATCCATCCAGACTTGACTTGGTATTTACAGATGAGCAAGGGATGATTGAGGAGGTCAACATAGGGGACCCACTAGGGAAAAGTGATCATGCTGTCCTATCGTGGACCCTTTTCTTGGGAGAAAAACCTGATAGAATGGCAATTAAAAGTAAGGCAAGCCTGAACTTTGCAAGAGCCAATTTCCCAGGGATCAGGGAAACACTAGAAATTGTTGATTGGAATATGCTAAATGATATGACAGTAGAAGATATGTGGCATTGCATCAAAGAAAGGATTAACAAATGTTTTGAAACCCTAGTTCCAAAGCACAGTAAAAAGTCAAGCAAGAAGGCTGCGCCCTGGTGGAACAGGGAACTAACCAAGGCGGTGAAGCTCAAACATGATGCCTGGAAAAAATATGCTATATCCAAGTCAAGCGAAGATTATAAAGAATACACCAGGCAGCGTAATATCACTACTGGTAAAATCAGGAAACACAGACACAACTATGAAGCAGCATTGGTCAGAACAGTCAAGCAAAATCCAAAACAATTATACAAGTACATCAGGAGCCAGCAGAAGGTCAAACCAGCTATACATGCAGTTGAAAATGGTACAAGCTTGACCTCAAATGATCAAGAAACTGCTGAAGCCCTGCAAGATTTCTTCAAATCTGTTTTTGTGAAAGAGGGTGATACTCCTCTACCAGACTTCGAGGAGCGCGTGCAACCTGAGGCAGCCATCACAGACATTGAGATGACTACTGAATCAATCAGAAACGAACTTGTCAACTTATGTGAACAAAAAGCACCTGGTCCTGATGGTATCCCCAGCATTGTGTTGAAGAGGTGTGCAGAGCAGCTAACTCGACCTCTTTACAAGTTATTCACAAAGTCACTTCAAGAAGGCCAATTACCACAAGATTGGAAGGATGCTAATATTGTCCCAATCCACAAGAAAGGTAACAGAAATAAACCAGGGAACTACAGACCTGTAAGCTTGACCAGCCAAGTTGGAAAAGTGATGGAAAGGTTGATTAAAAGGAGTGTGACAGCTCATCTCGAGAGAAACAACCTCCTGAGCCAACAACAACATGGTTTTGTATCCAAGAGGTCTTGTCAGACCAACCTGCTGGAGGCCCTCGAACACTGGACGAAAGCTATTGATGAAGGACGAGGTGTGGATATACTGTACCTGGACTATCAAAAAGCATTTGACAGTGTACCCCACAAGCGACTGATGAAGAAACTCTACGGATATGGTATCAAGGGAAATGTATTGTCTTGGATTAGTGCATTTTTGACAAACAGAAGACAACGAGTGGTGGTAGGGACAGATCACTCTGAATGGTGTTCAGTCATCAGTGGGGTCCCCCAAGGGTCAGTGTTGGGACCAGTCCTGTTCATCATGTTTGTCAATGAGCTGCCAGATCTTGTGCGCAGCAACATGAAAATGTTTGCGGACGACGCCAAGATATACAGGCCTATTCAAGCAAAACAGGACGCTGAGATTCTCCAACAAGACATATCACTTCTGCAGAAATGGTCTCAGGACTGGCTTTTGAGATTCAATGAGGCAAAATGTAAAGTGATGCACTGTGGCTCGAACAATCCAAGTGTAGACTACTTCATGTCAGATGGCACAACCAGTAAAAAACTACAAGTCAGTACCCTGGAGAAGGACCTAGGAGTTTACATCACAAACAACTTGAAGCCATCAGTCCACTGCCAGAAAGCTGCTTCTAAGGGTATGTCGGCCCTGCGTATGCTAAAGCAAGCATTTGATAGACTGGATCTCGACAACTTCAAACCTCTGTTCACCACCTACGTCCGCCCACATCTTGAATATGGTATGCAGGCTGTTGGCCCGTACACTGCAAAGGACATCAAGCTGCTGGAACAAGTTCAAAGGAGGGCGACAAAGCTTGTAAAACCTTTAAGGAGCACACCCTACCCAGAGCGCCTCCGCAGTCTTGGACTTCTTAGCGTAGAAGACAGACTGCGTCGAGGCGACCTCATTGAAACATACAAGCTCCTGACAGGGAAGGTTAAGGTGGACAGTGATCAGTTCTTTGAAGTCGACCATGAAGACCGCACGAGAGGGCATCATCTGAAGCTGAAAAAAGGCAGATCAAGTCATCTATACAGGCTGAAGTTCTTTTCAAACAGAGTAGTTAATGACTGGAACGGATTGCCTAGAGATGTGGTGGAGGCTACTTCTACAAACATGTTCAAACGAAGACTAGACCAACACAGGGCTGCCAAACCTGCATCCTCACGCCACAACTGACCTTATGGCTCATTTCCTAGTCCGGCTCGATGTGAGCATTGAATAGACCTAGTCTACTACAGCTCACTAATGCTCAACTTCAACTTCAACTAACATCTGCTTTACTATTACCAAAAAAAAAAAAACTACAACCCTGAAACCAAACTACATCCTAACCAAAATTATGGAAAACACCTGTCCCTAAAAAAACTTTGCTATGGTTTTGGGACTGAGGGTTCATTTCAACCAAAAATGCACAGATTTGCATGGCTTACATTTAATCGTGTAGCAAAAATGGTCATTTTGTAGCATGTGCAGCAGTTTGAGTTGCTGCGTTGCGGAAACAAAGTTACTTAAGGATCTAGACTCCCGCTTCCCCCTGCACCAGTACCCTTATATGAAACAAACTTCAAAAGGAGATGGAAAATGCTAGCTACATATATGCAGCATTCAAAATATCTTGATCTCACTTTAGAAAAAGTAGGTAGGTCAAGCATCCACAAAACCAAACATATTAAACATATCAGGCTTGAAATGCCTTATAAACATATATTTTCAAGGAAGAAAAACTATTATCACGAAACTCACCTAATATATGGCAAAGTTTTATTTGTAATTAATGCATATTTATGCTTAGGAAAAGAGGAAGATTGGATTTCATTGCACCTGACCTACCTTACCAGCTCATTTAATGCTATTCTGGAGATGTAGGAAGATGATGAAACACAGAACACACACACTGCCACACTCAAAATATTAGCAACACTAACCTCATCTCAAAAATGCTTTTCAAATGTTTTAAATATCAACAAAACACCCGATTGATGATAAAAACGCCGCGGCGTATGCGCGTCAAGGACGCGCTGAAAAGTTGGAATATTTCAACTCGTGAGCGTCGAATACGCGAGTAATTCAGCGCCGACCAGCCGATGAATAATCAGCTGACAACGCTTCATCGTGCTTTAGGCGCTGAAACTGCATTCGGCGCGCAACCCATAGACTCCAATGTTAAATTCAGCGCGTAAATGTGCGCGCCTAACCAGTGGACGGCGGCCTTTAGGACGGCGGCCTTTACTGTGGTGTCAGAGCCGCTCCTTCAGTAGTTCTAACGTTTGCCGCACGCGGCGCTGCGGTCGCAAGCCCAGTAGTTCCACAGCTGGCCGCGTAAGGGGCAGCCGGTCGCTACTGCCGCAAATCCACCACACTGATTTCGTAACTTCCGTCCAGAGTTACGTGTTGTGCCTCCTGCGAAAAAGAGAGTAAAACAGTCTGAAAAAATGTAGCAGAGACGATGGCTCTACCTATCAAGAGTTAGATGTAGCATCAGGAGAAGAGAAAACACAATGATATATCATATAACTCGGCGAAGTAGCGTTATCTGACGAATCCGTCAAAGGGAGATGCATGCTTTTGGTTTGTCCTCCTCCAACAGATTTAAAGGGACTATCCCACCTTTAACATGGGGTTTGAGTTGAGATAGCCAAGTTTGCGGCGAGGTTCAGAAACCACTATCTATCTAGGTTGCAACCCCCGCGGCCTCTTGGTGTTGAAGAAATTCGTTCCCTTCATTTGAAAATGGGCCTTGCGCAAGGCCCTATCTTCAACATGGAGCGACCGTTAGTGTGACGTCACCTCGTTTAGTCATTCTGATTTAAATGGGTTTGTTCGTTGAAAAATCGCTTAAAACTTGGTCTGAACTTTGTTGTGGTGCCTACAGAGTAAAAAGAATCAGCTTTATGACAGTAATGTGGCCTGGGGAAGGAGGTAATTTTGGGCTGTGACGTCACATATTTGAAAGTTTGTGTTTGGAATATGGGAAGCCTAAGATGTTTAATGAAAAATAAATGCCAGAACCGTGTTCCTGGTCATCCAATCTATAAAGTCGGGCACAATTTAACAGGTTTTATCAACATTTTAGAAGGTGGGATAGTTCCTTTAAGATTATTATAGATGAGACAAAACACTCGAGGCTCCAAAACACGTCGAAGATGTTTGAAGCAGACTGAAGCGCGTTCACCTTTCTGGCTACGTTTCTCACCTCGAACAGTGGCGGGTCCTGCGGATGGGGGTGAAACCCCGACTTGTGACAGTTGGCGATATAGTCCAGGCCATAACTAGGAGTCAGCATGAAAAATCCCGTCCTGAAAGGGAGAAACAGTGATGGTAAGTGTCATAAATACGTGGATGTGAGGCGCTTTGTCGACGTAGACGGTCATGGTAAGATAGATAAAGCCGATATTTAGGCATAGAAGCAGCAGAAAAAGTCGTATGTAAGCGCCAGAGAAAAAACAATGATCTACCTCAATGAATGTTACAAACAGGAAGTTGTTAGTCATTCAACTAGTAAGAAATCTCAGACTCGTCGTTTCGACAACACAGCATACACTCAAACACATTCGCTGAATCAGCAGCACCAACCAACCCAACATATCCAATCATTAGCCGATTTCATTTTAAGCAGTCCCATTATTTCACAATTTATTCCGTCCTTCCGTCCCGATCTAACAAATTATCATCCCTCCCATCCATGTACCCCCCCCCCCCACACACACACTTCATCTTCCTACCTTCTGCACAGCATTCGGCACCGCTCTCTTCCACCCCACCTCTTCCGATCCCCACTTACTCGTTATATTTGAGCGCACACACGATGTGCTATGACTTTTAGTTAGTTTAAGTTGCCGTTGGTCACTTACTCGTCAGTCGTTATATTTGGGCGCGCACACGATGGCTATGGCTTTTAGTTACCTGTCGTTGGTCACTTACTCGTTATATTTGGGGGCGCAGACTATGGCTATGGCTTTATTAAGCTGTTGTTGGTCACTTACTCGTTATATTTGGGCGCACAAAATGGCTATGGCTTTTAGTTGCGTCATCAATCACTTACTCGTTATATTTGGGGGCGCAGACGATGGCTATGCTCTCAAGCATCATGAGCTGGTATCCGCAGTGGGTGTGGAGATCCACCGACGACAGGAAGGCCGTCTGAGACGGGTGAGTCTGAGGGGAGGGAGAATGAGTCGTCAGTGTGGGAGGCGAGAAGTGGTGGTCAGAGATTGCGGGTCTTCACCTCTTACTCTGGAGCTGAAGCTGAAGCTTCAGAAGAGGTGGAGACATAAGAGGTGGAAAAGAGCAAACATACAGGAGCATAATTAACGGTAGCACTCAGCTGAATCGTTTTACGAATAAGCGAACCGACAATGAATCAAAACAACTATGTTCATGAGATACCATATGACTCATTTTCATGCATAACACGACAACGCCACAACAAAATGCGCTTAAAATGGTAGAACGATGTAAACATGTACAATTACATCTTTACCCATCTAATTATGTATCCATCCCAGAAATATGACAACTTGGTTGACCGCCCTCTACCCTCCCTTCTGTTGCTACTCACACGTATCCATCCCAGCGTGATAAGGCTATGCTTAGCTGCCGTATAGATACCACCGTTAATACTCACGTGTATCCATCCCAGTGTGATGAGGTTGTGGGTGTCCAGATAGGCGAACACCTTTTCTTCGCCCTCCATATTACAGGAGTCGGAGGTGCCCGTCTGGGCCGGTATCAGCACGTGCGTGATGTACAGATTATCCTGAGACTGGGGGAGGAAAGGGGGTATCAATGGTGTAACAGGGGAGTATTACCCTCCATATTACAGGAGTCGGAGGTGCCCGTCTGGGCCGGTATCAGCACGTGCGTGATGTACAGATTATCCTGAGACTGGGGGAGGAAAGGGGGTATCAATGGTGTAACAGGGGAGTATTACCCTCCATGTTACAGGAGTCGGAGGTGCCCGTCTGGGCCGGTATCAGCACGTGCGTGATGTACAGATTATCCTGAGACTGGGGGAGGAAAGGGGGTATCAATGGTGTAACAGGGGAGTATTACCCTCCATGTTACAGGAGTCGGAGGTGCCCGTCTGGGCCGGTATCAGCACGTGCGTGATGTACAGATTATCCTGAGACTGGGGGAGGAAAGGGGGTATCAATGGTGTAACAGGGGAGTATTACCCTCCATGTTACAGGAGTCGGAGGTGCCCGTCTGGGCCGGTATCAGCACGTGCGTAATATACAGATTATCCTGGGACTGGGGAAAAGCGAGGGGAGTGTCAATGGTGGAACAGGGGATTGTGAAGGTACGAACATCTAATCGTTACATAACATCATAAGTAAGCAACATAATGCAGCAGCATGATTTCCAGCAGAACACTCCACTTCTCATCTCAAATTCAGACGACATCGGGCGTAACCTCAAAGTTCCCGACCTCCCGAAAGGTTGCAGTATTCGACCGACCACATTTCCACACGACCGTAAGCACACTAATACCGACGCTACACCATCTTCCACTCACCGGTTTTCCGCAGAGAAGTCCACACGTTTCCACATTACGATTCGTGTTGGCCTCTGCGATCTTCAAGAACCTGAGGCGAGTACAAACAATAACAAGCTGAGAAAAATTAATGCCAAACCAAAGCACGGGAGTCGACAAAACAAGGATCTTAAAAATTCATGGTAACTATCAAGTACAAAATATCTAGAAAGGAGTACGTAAGTAAAAATCATAGAACCGATGAACACCAGTCATGTAAGCAGTGGAGACTGAAGAGTGTGACAAAGCAACCGATTGGCTTTCACCAAACACAATTAAATCTTATCAGAGTAAAATTGCCTCTCACTGGCGCAGAGCATCCTTGTACTCTAACACGCCAATGGATCTCATCAGAGGTATATGACCGTTATGATCATAGCACCAACCCGGCTTCTCATCAGAGAACCATTTGATTCTGAATAAATCATAATAACGATGATGACGTGAGCACCGTCGCGATTTTCAATGGACGGAGCACCACCACTGTTCTCATTTGAGTACCATCTTAGTTCTCACCTGGGCATCAGCGAGTCGGGTACCACCACCGTTCTCAGCTCTGATCTCAGCGAGAGCAGCGACTTCTGGTGGTCGAAACTGGGCTTCACAGAGCGGTCTATTGCCGGCGCCCTGTGAGACAGAAACAGGGGTCAGAGGGGAGTCAGAGGGAGTCCGAGGGGGGTCAGAAGGGAGTAAGAGGGCCAAAAAGGGGGTTGTGAGAAGGCTAGAGGTGATTGGGAATGTTAAGGCAGAAGTGACGCAAACAGAGGGACAATGCAGTTCTATGAAAAAGGAAAGACGACAGATTTTGTTTCAATATCATACTCAGCATCACTATCCATGAATCCAGTTGAGCCTACCACAAAAATACCATATCCTAAGATTACGATAATGGACTGGTGACTGGTGACATAGATGCGGCACGCCATGACCTTATCGCACCATCATCTTTCTACTTCCCCACAACTCCGCAAGTCTTTCCATTATCCCCACCACCTTCCCACGTCCCTTCCCCTGTCTACCCCTAGCCTCCCTGAATATCACCTTACATACCCCGAGGATGGCCTCGACAGTCGCGTCGGGGATAGCTCCCCGTAGCTAGGCGGCGGTGCTGACGGAGCTGCAGGAGCTGACGGTGCTGACGGTTGCTGGAGGGCGCTGTAACTCGGAGGGGCAGACGGGGGCTCCGGGAGTAGCGCCGCGTATGCTGGAGAGAGAGAGATGGGGGACGGGGGAGGGAACTGTCAGTTATGACGGGGAGAAAGCGAGCGCCAGGGTGGTGTTAAGAGACAACTATGAACCGTGGAAACCCATTACATGACCTACTGGCTTCTGCAGTGTACCTACTATGGTTTGTTGTACGACTCTTCACTCGTCTAGCATGAGACACCCAGGTAGATGATAGGCATAGTATGAAGTTTTTGCAATTAATATGTTACCATATTTTATTCCATAAAAATCCAGCTTCATAGTTATAACTAACTGACAACCAGCTCCAATCCAAGTTAACTCCCCCCCCCCCCCCTAAAAAAGCTGATGAGCCTCAAAGTCTCCACAGTCTAGTACTGAGCCTCAAATACAGTCATACAGTCTGATTAACACCCAGATCTTACCAGGCAGTCCGTCGGCGGTGGGCTCGGAGACCAGAGTCCGTTCGAGCTGCTCCGCGCGCCGCCTCTCCAGTTCCAGCAGGCGCTGCTTTTCCTCAGCGAATCTGTAAAGGAGAGAGGACAACGTGTGAGAGAGAGAGGGAGGGAGAGAGAGGGAGAGGGGGGAGAGGGGAAGAGAGGGAGGGAGGGAGAGAGGGAAATAGCATAACAGACAGACAGACAGACAGATAGATAGGGATAGAAATAGCGAAGAAGGAGAGAAAAGAGGCAGCGTTAGCAGAGGAAAAAGAAGCAGGAGACCTGGCCGGGCCGTATTCACGTCGATCATTTTCGTAAGAATTTTCTTAACTTTGACCTACTTCTTATTAAGTAAATTTTTTTATTCACGTGAACTCCGCCGATAAAAACTTAAGAAGTGTCGACGTGAATACCAAATTATACTTACGAAAGAAAATCGACTTACGAAGTCGACGTGAATACGGCCCCTGCAATGTTATAAAGAAGCAGGAGACCTGCAATGTTATGTCCGTCTACTTCAGTGTCCGACTTTGTGACACCGTCAGAGCAGCTATCAGTGTGTCAGTGAGCGTAGATGTAAAAAGATTAGCGTAGAAGTGAATGGGTTTTTCCCGTGGATGTTTTACTAAATATATGAAATGACAAAAGGTGTGACAGCCCGTGCCAGGGTCAGACTATTATCAGTGTCAGACTATCAGTGCCACTCGTGCAGTCCCCACCTGCGTCGCTCCTGCTCCTCCTGTTCGAGTCGCTCGTGCTCTCTCGCCGCCCGCTCTCGCTGCTCTGCCAGCTGCTGCTCTCGCCGCTTCTGTGAGAGACCAAACGGAAACACAGGTCAGGTCAGGTCACAAAGAGGGCTACAGATCAGGTAATATCGGAGCAGGTCGCACGCAGAGTCCAAAAAGGGTCAAATAAGGGTACACGTTAGTGACGCCCATCGCTTAAAGGCATATTTTGGAGCAAGAAATTGGCCAATTCATGGGGTTCTCTACTACATATTTGCATCATCTATCATGTCCAGAGGGCAATGAACCAGATTTATTAATTAGGCAATAACAATTAACATGTATGTAGGGACAGCAGTCTACATATTTCAATACTTGTCAATGTGTCATGGAATTCTTCTGGAATGCAAAACTGCATCCCCTCCCCCGTCCTTCCTCCAGAGGTCACTGACCTGCTCCGTCACCCACTGCCGGTGCTCCTGCTCATATTTGGCGATCAGCTGACGCTTGATAGCCTCTGCGCGGGGGAGCGTTAACTCCAGGTGACGCTTGATGGCCGCTCGCTCGCCAGGCGTGACAGTGCGAAACTCTGGGTGTTCACGAATTTTCTCCAGGAAGATACTGTCAGAGAAATAGGTAGTAAATGAGTCTGTACACGGTCCTCGCGTACACAGCATATCGTAGGATGCAATTACTTTACTGGACACCATCCATTGTAGATTTCTGTCAACTGAAGTGCACACATAGCATCCCAGTCCCTCCACTCACGTCATGAATTTGAGGTACAGCACGTAGGCGCCCTCCAGGTTGCCCTCCTCGGCGTACACGTTCGCCATGCGAACCATCTCCACACCGGAGCGATAATACCTGCGGCAGAGCGGATCCGAGACGTCACCGGAAGTGGTCCACTTCCGCCGGAACTGAGCCGAAGTGGTTAGCTTCCGGTGGAATTGAGCCGGAAGTGCGGAGTTCCGGTGAAACTGAGCCGGAAGTGGCCGACTTCCGGTGGAATTGAGCCGGAAGTGGGCAATTTCCGGTGGAATTAAGCCGGAAGTGGACAATTTCTACCGGAAGTCACCCGGAAGTGACCGACTTTCGCCGGAACTTAACTAGAAAGGGGGACAGGAATTTAGAAGTCGAAGGAGGAAAAGGTAATGTAATGATTGATGGTATGAACTAAGTGATAATTCAGAGTTGACCACATGCAAAAAAGTTGACATGAGACACAAATTGTAGATGAAATATGAAAAACAGTAGGAACACGACGTGCGCACTTATCAATTAAAGATCGCAATAAAACGAGACGGGCGCCATTAGGACGAAAAGGTGACATGAAAGGACGGCCCAAATGCAAGCATAAATGTTGCGAAGTAACACACACACACACACACACACACAAAGTCATCTAAAACAACACACACATGCTGCACACCTCAAGCAGTATAGTGGGACAGATAACTATCATTGTGCTGAAGCTCAATCAATGTCATGTCGAGAAATGAGACTGGGTAAACATAACAAAGGTGATTGATGATCCAACTGAAACCAAAATAAACGTGGGGCATGGCCATGCTCAGAGGAAAATCAGAGCATTTTGTGAGTGACCAAACAAATGCAGTGAGTAGATGGCCACCAGACACTGAGGCAAAATGCAATGTACAGATAAAGTATTAACCCGCGCACCGACGGGGGGGGCGGATATCCGCCCCCCCCCCTGAGGTTTTTCGCGAATAGCGGGAAAACCGCGGCGCGTAGCGCCGCGAAATTTGGCATGACTATTCCCTTATCAATTTTACACATGGTGTGCAAGTTTGAACCTCCTACCTTTCAAGGTCAGGTCACCAGGTCACTTTGAATGACCCAACCTTAAGTCACTTTTTTTGCAACTTTGTCACCGTGCCAGAGCTACAGTAGATGTCGGAGGCCTTTGAAAGTCGCAGGATGTTATTAGGTCATAAGTAGCTACAATTTGTATATCTCGGAATTTTGATATCGGTGACCTAAGGTCAGGTCAATTTCGCGACCTCCCCATTATAAGTCAATGGGGGAAAAATCAACTCCCTGTTTTTACCACTAAAACGGGTCGGAATGGCCCCATATGCCATACATGACTTCATATACGATCAACCTTCACTACCTTGAGGTCTGTTTTGCTGTTGGGCAGCTGTGAGGTCATGTGACGTCATCAAAGGTCACCAAAGGTTTTTGGCCAATAACTCCGTACAGGAACAAGATACAGACGCGTGGATGGTCTCATTGTGTTCAGCTCGTCAAGACGCATCGAATGATATACATGATGACCTCGAGGTCACGTGACCTGAGGTCAACCTTTGACCTTGACCTTTCGAGGTCAACATATATATCATTCGATGCGGATTGACGAGAGGATCACGATGATGCCCTTAGTTTGTTCCTATCTTGACTAATTCGAAAGTTATTCGAGAAAAACTCGCTCCATATTTAGCGCCGCCATTTTGACTTTTTCGACCCCTGTGACGTCATCTTTGACCTGACCTGAAAATGACCTTAGTAAAAATTGTAGATCTTGACCGTGCGTATCCGATGCCGTTTACCGCTTGTCGCTATCTTGCTTCGTTCTCGAGATCTCAGGGGGGGGCGGTCATCCGCCCCCCCCCCCCCGTCGGTACTAAGTTGGCGCAGACCCCCGTCGGTGCGCGGGCTAAAATATAAGCTTCCATGATTAGCTGTATCATAATGACACCAAAATATTCAAATAAACAATTAGATAATTTAAAGAAAAGCATTTCCTCCTGACTCATTTCTTGACCTCCAGCTGTGCATATCACAAATATCGACATCATTTCCAATAAAAGTAACACCTCTAGGCCTCATTTAGGTCTAAAGAACAAACAACACAATACTCACATTTTGGCTGGCCGCGAGTGGTCAATATCATAGTTGGCCTTGTCTGCCAGCTGCCTGATCCGGGCGGGAGCCTCCTCCATCGTCAGAGGCTCTCGGTAGGAGAGCGTCAGCTTCAGCATTCAGCAGCACAGCTTCATTCACAGCAGGTTCGCTCCTTGGTCCTTCAGCATTCAGGGTCCCAGGTTGATGAACAGCAGGTCTGCAGACTGCAGGGTTCCCAAGTCTCAGTAATCAGCAGCTTAGTTAAATGGATAAAAAGGTCTATGATTTTAGCATTTAGTGGCTCAGCTTAATGTCCAACAACTCCACTGTTGCCAACAGCATTCATGGGCTTCACTTTTGAGATGAGTTGCTTAGCAGGACATATTCTGCTTCAGTACATCCAGGGCCCTGTTTCACCGGTGATAGCAGCACGCTGCTATTACACGTGTCTAATTGGGGAGATGTCAACAAGCCTATTCCTCCAACACCACCAGAAGTGTGACATCAGCTCGCGAAATGGAATAGCAGCGTGCTGCTGTCACCGGTGAAACTGGGCCCAGTTTCCTGCTCAAAACAACATCCAGGGGGTCAACACTCAGCATCAACATTCCCTTGCTAAGCTTGGGAGTTTTGCTGAGTCAAATCAGCATTATGAGTGAGCTGCAAAGGTCATTTTACTCATGTCAGCATCAAGGAATGCCAATAGGTACAATGTATAACGACTGAGCTCAGGTTGACTTAAAGGGACTATCCCACCTTCTAAAATGTTGTTAAAACCAGTTAAATTGTGCCCGACTTTATAGATTGGATGACCAGGAACACGGTTCTGGCATTTATTTTTCATTAAACATCTTAGGCTTCCCATATTCCAAACACAAACTTTCAAATATGTGACGTCACAGCCCAAAATTACCTCCTTCCCCAGGCTACATTACTGTCATAAAGCTGATTCTTTTTACTCTGTAGGCACCACAACAAAGTTCAGACCAAGTTTTAAGCGATTTTTCAACGAACAAACCCATTTAAATCAGAATGACTAAACGAGGTGACGTCACACTAACGGTCGCTCCATGTTGAAGATAGGGCCTTGTACAAGGCCCATTTTCAAATGAAGGGAACAAATTTCTTCAACACCAAGAGGCCGCGGGGGTTGCAACCTAGATAGATAGTGGTTTCTGAACCTCGCCGCAAACTTGGCTATCTCAACTCAAACCCCATGTTAAAGGTGGGATAGTCCCTTTAAAGTTGGTGATATGACACAAGTGCCTTAGGGCCTGCCACCTGGGCCCTGTTTCACCGGTGATAGCAGCACGCTACTATCAAATTGCGCGAACTGACGTAATGTGGTCCCGCCACAGTAGGTAATGACGTTTCGTGTAATCCGTGAGCTTTTTCATAGCTACGTTTGGAACAGAGTTGCAGTGTCATTGAATGTGTTGATTTGTTCGCACGGCCGTGAAGATGTTAGCAGCAATTTTAGATGACATCACACAGTTTGACGACGCCATGGTTTGTTGATGTCTCCATGGAAACCCAATTTGACACGTGTGATAGCAGCGTGCTGCTATCACCGGTGAAACAGGGCCCTGTTCCAGCACCTCTAGGGGCCCTGTTTCACGTCAACACACTACAGCGAAATATGCATAGCAGTGGATTAGGTATGATTTCCATGGAAACATCAATAAACTCAGATCAAGATGCTCACAATGCTGGAGTGTTGAGGCAAAGTTGTCTCAAACAAAACACAATACCGTGGCATAGCATCATGCCGTGAAACAGGACAATAAACCTTACATGTGAAACAGGCAGCATAGGTACTGACAGAAAAATGACCAAACACTAAACAGTACTCAGAACTTCTGGCAATTTTGAATCCTGATTCATCCAAGGTAGGTATCTCTTCTCATCTGGCATCCCCAGAAAATGAAAACAAAAGGTGACTCCGACCATTTCAATTTACTTACGCAGAAGATGACACTAGGTAGGTACCAAATATTTGGATTCACTAGCTTCAGTAGGAAAAATAGCAATGTTGATATAACGTGCATAACCTCCCCGCACTAGGCTCGAGGAGCAATAAACAACACTTTGACTTGTTTCACCCTGCAAAGTGCAAAATGCAAAATATGCATGATTCATACGCCACCGTGTTCACTACTTGTGCAGGTAGCTGTAATTCATCGAACGCAACCGAATCAGGCCAATCCGCAGGCTTTGCTTGCTTTGCTTCCGCTGACAGAGCCGGACTGGGCACAATGATAGAACACATAAGTGGGCATACGTGCGCCATATTTGTCTTATCGAATTATGTTGACAGGCGGCAGTCTGACAGTTGACTCAGAAGGCCCGACTCAGTGCGGTTGACACCGCAGTTGACAGATGGTTGACAGTCTTCCATAAACAGTGACGTATGGTTGGTTGCTGTCGTGCATTTTGTAAGTGTTTTGGCTGCTGTCATCCAGTGTAAACAAAGTTTCTACAATATCGACCAGTTTTATTTGGCAGTGCGCTACTGTGTTCATCAAGATGGTCAAAGGAATTGTTCTTTTTGTTGAACTGAACGTGGCTTCCTCAACTTAGTACGATTGCGATAGTACGAAGAGTAGAAGAGCAGGAGGCTGCAGGGTGGAAGAGCTCCAGCCTCCAACCAGCGCACTCAGCCAGCGTCAGCATTACTCTGCCATCTAGCACACCTCATGAGTCACACAGGTGACCTGATGTCGGCTGGTGTCGTCCAGCTGCTAGATGACCTGGCTGCCCTGGCCGAAAATGAAGACTTGGCAGACATCGTCTTCCTTGTCGGGCCACAGGAGGAGCGAGTGTTTGCCCACTCCTTGATCCTGAAGACGAGGTGCCGCAGTTTCCAGCGCACCGATCGTAAGGAGGTCTGCCAGATCGCCGGAAGCACCGTCACCACCGGCTCTCAGGGTTCCCTGACGGTGATCAAGCTGCCCGCCTACCGGCCAGAGGTCTTCAAGCAGGTCATCATCTACATCTACACGGGTCGGGTGTCTCTCTCCGTGGACACGGCTCCCGAGCTGCTCGCCGCCGCGGCCGCTCTCGGCCTGGAGTCTCTCCGGCAGCACTGCCACCAACATATCGCCGATAGTCTGTCGGCCGCCAACGCGTGCGCCCTTCTGGCCGCCGCGGTGCGCCTCCAAGATGCCACAGGTAGCGAGGACGGGTCGCTGATCGACAAATGTCTCTCATATATCGGACAGCGTGCAGCGGAGTGTGTACAGACTGCCGGCTTCCTGAATTTACCCAGAAAAGCCATGATCAGGCTCATCTCCTCGGAGCAGCTCGCTCTGGACGAGGAGTCTGTGTGGCGTGCTGTGCTCGCCTGGGCCAAACATGGTGCCGGCGTGACAAGACCGGCGCCCCAGTGGAGCGACGAAGAGCGCACACGCGTCTGCGCCCACATGAGCGGCGTCATCAACCACGTGAAGCTCCTTCTGATCGACAGTCAGGTGTTTGCCGACGAGGTCGAGCCTACTGGCGTCGTTCCCATGGAGCTCAGCCTGGAGCGCTACCGTTTCGCCGCCCTGCCGGACAAATTCCGCCGCGAACGGGTGGCGGAGGACCGGCGTCTGCAGCCGCGGCTCAGTGGCCACCTGTTCACGGGCTCCCGGCTACTGACCGGTCCATCGGCGGGCCGGCTGCAGCAGCTGCTCTCGCAGTGGTACGGGGACACCGGTCAGCGCTGGAGACTGCTCTACCGAGCCTCCGATCACGACCACAGCGCTCAGGAGTTCCACCGGCTCTGTGACGGCGTGGCCCCCACCTTCACCCTGTGTCTGGGTGAAAGTGGACAGCTCTGTGGTGGGTTCAGCGACGTGGCCTGGGTGCAGAGTGGCGCGAGGGGGCGCTACATCCATTCAGACTCGGCGTTCCTCTTTACGCTCGTCAACCATCAGAACGTGCCACCCACGAGATTTCCCGTGAAGAAGCGAATGTACGCCATATGTTACCACCCTCAGTGTGGTCCGATCTTCGGCGCCGGAGCCGACCTGTGCATTTCTGACCGTTGTGACTCGACCGGAGAGAGCTACTCTAATCTGCCACACTCGTACGATGGTGATGGTGCCTCTTCGGCACTTCTGTTCGGCGACTACAACTTCAACGTAGCTGACTATGAGGTGTTCACTGTGGCCTGAACAGACTGTGAGGTGTTCACTGTTCAGTGTTCACTGTGGTATTTTTTTACTTTTATATCGCGCTGCTACTACCGTGCTGGTGACATTTTATCAATTTGACCTACCTATCCGTCCGTGTAAGTGTATGTTCTAACCCGAACGTCCGTCCATCACTTCATATCATTGACGAGAGGTGGTAAATAGCCACAAGCACTGTGGATCGCCTTAATAAATGTCTATGCCTTTGCCTTTGTCTATGTTGTCTACATGTGGTCGACATGGCCGGGGCCTATATACGGCCTTGGCCGGGGCCTATATACGGCCTTGGCCGGGGCCTGTATACGGCCTTGGCCGGGGCCTATATACGGCCTTGGCCGGGGCCTATATACGGCCTTGGCCGGGGCCTATATACGGCCTTGGCCGGGGCCTATATACGGCCTTGGCCGGGGCCTATATACGGCCTTGGCCGGGGCAAGCTGCGAAGCGTTTTCCCATCGGATGTCGAGTAACGAGCTGCTGAGGTATTGGGGCGGAACTGCACCTGTGTCGACGTTGCAGCGAATTTCCACTGGTGGTATTACAAATTCGGAAAGATATCGCAAAGCGAATAGGGAGATTCACCAATAAGCGCATGGACGCAGTTGACTCGGCTCTCAGGAAAAGACTGCTACGCTACTCTTCAGCTGACAGGCGATTCTGTGAATTCCCGACAGGTGGCCGTAAAACTGATCGATAGGTGTCGCCCTAAGCGGGTGGGTGGACGATCGGCCTACCCCAAATGCCGATAGCTTTTGGGCTTTGATTATACGATTTATAGTCACCTGTTTTCCGCATATTTAGTTACGCATGAACCGTTCACATTGCCTCCGTCAGAAATACGGTTTCTCACAATAACTTGTCTGACATCTTGTAGGTATGTGGGTCACTGGTCAGTGTTACAGTCACACCGTCGGGCGACTCTTACTTTATACGTTCTATCATCTGTGATAGTGACCATTCATATACCTATAACGGGAGAACGTAGGAACCTGGGTCACTGGCCAATCCAGGGGGCATTTGGATTGGAACAAATCCTCCCCCCCCCCCACATCTCCCGAAATCGACAAAACTTTGCGGTTTTTTCGACAATAAAACGAAAACTAAACAATTTTTATCATGAAAGGTTTGAGCACAGTAGTTTGTAAGGAATCGAAATCCGATAAGTTTTGGAATTTGGAGAAACTGTTTTTGGGGTATACCTTATACCTATGCCCCGCAGCGACTAAGACCGCCTTTCTGGACTGGATCCGCCAGTGGAACAGACCTGCTGGATCCAGAAAGGCGAGAGGATCCGACAATCGTTTCAATTGATCTTCCTACAGCATAGTCGTCACTTAACAATTATTTCTACCTTCCCCTGCCAACCGGGTGCATTAGCCAGCGCCGTGCTGGTGGTCTGAGTTTTGAGTTTTCCGTGTCGTGTTGGCGGAGAGGAGTTCACCCTGCACCCACGCCCGTCTAACTCGGCTCCTGGGCTACGTAGCGACACGCAGTAAGCGGAAATCGAAAGAGCGTAAAAAAAAAAATAATGAAAAAAGTAGTTAGTTAAGGTTAAGGTCAGGTCAAAGGTCAGGTCGCTGGAGCTTATCAAAGGTCAAATTTTGCCTTTTTCAACAATTTTGAAAACAAAACTGACGCAAAACTCTGGAACCAATAGAGCTAGAGCGCGGCGGAAAAGCGCATTCAATAGCTTTTTTACAGACCTTCCTGGTTATTTTTCTCAGATTTGACCTCAGGTCAACGGTTTAGCCTCAAGAGCAGGCACGTATCGACTACAGAATGATGTTCCACTCCTCAGAAGCTATCAGTTGACCGGAGCGCTAAGTTGGGCCGTTTATCACGCTTATTCGATGTTTCGAAGAAGAACGGTCTGAATGAGCGGTAAAATCAGCCCAGGGTTGTCGAGTTTGGGCGTCATTCCCTCTGGACACAGCGCTATATAGCCCGCTGCACAGACGCACATTGACGTAATGATGTGTTATGTCCGCCGCCTGCCTCATCGGACCATTTTCCTCATCGAAAAAAAAAAAACATCGAAAGGCACCACGACCACCGTCGACAGGAAACGAACGCTACGCTCGGATCATGGATTCATCCATGCTCGGGTGCTGGAGAGGCTCTGGCGTTAGATAGAGGCCCTAGGGTCGGGACTTCCACAGCCCCGCGCTGCGGAGTTACATTTTGAGGGGGAAAGATCGCTATTGAAAGATGATGCCCCGACGCCGCCGCACTGGCAAATACCTCGAGGGGCGGGCCCTCAAGTCCCAAGTGCCGCCAACCGCTGCCTGACACCCGGCGGACACGCGTTTTCCGCCGGAGGCAAACATACGGCGGACTGGCCTCACACGCACTATGCTTATTGCTTACCCAGCCCGCCGCTCGATACTCAGTACACACCACATATTGCGAATAACCTGCGCCGTGCTGGTGGTCTGAGTTTTCCGTAGTGTGCCCCCCTCTCCCCGTCTAATTCGGCTTCTCATGGGTCGCGTAGCGACACGCGGTAAGCGGCAATCGAAAAAGTGTAAAAAATAATGAAGGAAATAGGTCATCAGTAATTGTTTACGTCAGGTCAATGGTCAGGTCACCTGAGGTCATCAAAGGTCAAAGTTAGTTTATTTCAACAATTTTCGAAATAACGACGCACAGCTCGGGAACCAATGCCTAGATCTACAGTGCCGGAGAATAGCGTATTCGATAGCTCGCTCTTTCAAAGGCCTTTCCGGAAACTGTCCTCAGATTTGACCTGAGTTCAACGGTTAAACATTCAGATTCCAGAGGCTCTGAAAATAGCCGATTTTACGAAAATGTGTTTCCGTGATAACTGTTGACCAATCACGACATAACTTTTGCCAGCTGGTGTTCCTCTCGTCGAGACGCGTCGAATGAACTATAACTTGACCTTAAAAATAGGTTTGAAAATTTGACCACAAGTCAAGGTCACGACCTGACCGCGGAAAGGGTCATGCTGCGTATACTCGTAAGTCGATCCGTATCGTCGATCTGAACACATATGAGGTGTTTTCACCGCTCCAGCACGTCTCTATCAAAAGTTATCGTCAAAAACTGCTGGGGACCTTTCATGACCTGATTTGGCCTCAGGGAAACACAGAGGGTCACGGGTGCAATTTTTCGATTCAATGTGTCATGTTTACGCATAAACGGATGTTTGAGCCTTGAGTGTTTAGAACGACACTCGTTCAAAAGAGACGTATTTCAATTTTCTCCCATTGATTTATAATGGGGAGGTCACAAAATTGACCAGAGCTTAGGTCACAGATATCAAAATTCCGAGACAGACATTTTATGCATACTGTTACTCTCGTTACTCTTAGCACTCGCTGCCACAGATTCAAAGCATCATTCAGTCGGTGTACCTACGCGAGCATTGGAATTTTTCTGAGGTAAGGCCACTTGACGTTACCTGGTGACCTGACCTTGAATGACCCGGATCTGAAATTTCTCCCGATGTGCGGAAAAGATGTAGGTATGAACAGGTGTGCCAAGAACGGCGGCGCTGCGCTCCGCTGTTTTTTATAGATATTCGCGAAAAATCCGAGGGGGGAGCGTAAAAACACCCACCCCTTCGTCAGCACCGTGCAGAATAATTTAGCATCATAAGCGATTCATATTTCATAAGCTGTTCACCTGAAAAGCCACAAGCGAGAGCTTTAGTTACAGTCGCGCTTGTCCCCATTTATAAGGAAGGCATATGCTGGAGAACGATTATAGACCTTTGCTGAGCATTTTGTGTGTTTTAGTCATAATTTGTCTGACAATAACCGTTAACCCGCGCACCGACGGGGGTCTGCGCCAACTTAGTACCGACGGGGGGGGGGGGGCGGATGACCGCCCCCCCCTGAGATCTCGAGAACGAAGCAAGATAGCGACAAGCGGTAAACGGCATCGGATACGCACGGACAAGATCTACAATTTTTACTAAGGTCATTTTCAGGTCAGGTCAAAGATGACGTCACAGGGGTCGAAAAAGTCAAAATGGCGGCGCTAGATATGGAGAGGGTTTTTCTCGAATAACTTTCGAAGTAGTCAAGATAGGAACAAACTAAGGGCATCATCGTGATCCTCTCGTCAATCCGCATCGAATGATATATATGTTGACCTCGAAAGGTCAAGGTCAAAGGTTGACCTCAGGTCACGTGACCTCGAGGTCATCATGTATATCATTCGATGCGTCTTGACGAGCTGAACACAATGAGACCATCCGCGCGGCTGTATCTTGTTCCTGTAAGGAGTTATTGGCAAAAAACCTTTGGTGACCTTTGATGACGTCACATGACCTTACAGCTGCCCAACAGCAAAACAGACCTCAAGGTAGTGAAGGTTGATCGTATGTGAAATCATGTATGGTATATGGGGCCATTCCGACCCGTTTTAGTGGTAAAAACAGGGAGTTGATTTTTCCCCCATTGACTTATAATGGGGGGGTCGCGAAATTGACCTGACCTTAGGTCACCGACATCAAAATTCCGAAATATACAAATTGTAGCTACTAATGACCTAATAACATCCTGCGACTTTCAAAGGCTTCCGACATCTACTGTAGCTCTGGCACGGTGACAAAGTTGCAAAAAAGTGACTTGAGGTTGGGTCATTCAAAGTGACCTGGTGACCTGACCTTAAAAGTTAGGAGGTTCAAACTTGCACACCATGTGTAAAATTGATGAGGGAATAGTCATACCAAATTTCGCGGCGCTACGCGCCGCGGTTTTCCCGCTATCCGCGAAAAACCTCAGGGGGGGGGGCGGATATCCGCCCCCCCCGTCGGTGCGCGGGTTAACATACCTTACAATTCACACTCAAAGGGTTACCTCTCTTAATCTTTTATCAGAATTGACAATGCCCTTGAGTTTATGCATATTTAAGGGATAACCCATTAACCCGCGCACCGACGGGGGGGGCGGATATCCGCCCCCCCTGAGGTTTTTCGCAGATAGCGGGAAAACCGCGGCGCGTAGCGCCGCGAAATTTGGTATGACTATTCTCTCATCAATTTTACACATGGTGTGCAAGTTTGAACCTCCTAACTTTTAAGGTCAGGTCACCAGGTCACTTTGAATGACCCAACCTCAAGTCACTTTTTTGCAACTTTGTCACCGTGCCAGAGCTACAGTAGATGTCGGAGGCCTTTGAAAGTCGCAGGATGTTATTAGGTCATTAGTAGCTACAATTTGTATATCTCGGAATTT